GTTGTGTCCTGTTGTGTGGCGTACGGTGTGATGAGCGCTGAATGTTAGGCTGCTCTTCGACTCGTCTAGTGATGGTTCTTTGGTTCGCCAGCGTCCGATCGGTATTTTCATACGGTTTGTTTGGCATTTTCTGCGGAACGTCCGCTCCTGTACGAGCTACTCATCGATTGAGGAGCCGTTTCCCATCGAGCAAGCCGAACAAAAAGCATCGTCGGCTCAATCCATTCGCACAGGGAGCGGAAGAAGCAAGGTCGGTCGGCGCGATCATTTCTGGCAGTGTTTCTAGAAGAACAGACGAACACGAGGACAGATAATGAGAAAATCCATGTTCTGAATGTTATGGTCTTTAGACGAAAAGGAAATAAGCTGGATAAGAATATAACATTTTAATGGTGGCCAAATACTGATTATTTAATATCCGCTGAGTATTCAATTCCACAGGATTTTGTAGCTAATGTTGTAGTTTAATGGAAAACGAGTTTCTAATTCCAAGGCAAAGTGTAAACTTAACAACACTATGTTAAGAACCGAATTTTTACGTGGTTGATTTGGTCTTGAAGTAGTAAAGGCGTTCCTAGAGTTTCTTCATACAGCTTTTAAGTGACACGAGTACCACTTCATCTATCCCTTTTCTACTTCCTGAATACACTTACTATAAAAAATGAATACATTGAAAAACAGCTGGATTAGGTCAACCTTGCATATGAGTGCGAAAAGTAACTTTTTTGGCGTTGAAGCCATAAATGATCATTTCAGAGCCAAATTTTCAATAAGCACCATTAGTAAAGGATATGGGATAAAGCGTTCAGCGCTGATCAAATCCTGGAGAATGCAAAGTGCATTCAGCTCCGTTCATAGCATCGGGTGATTGAATGCATGCTTGGAATACACAACGATCTGCGGTTGCCAGCCGATATGTGGATGTAGTGTGGTTATCCTCCAGACAAGTCTGGTACCAATTTGTCGAACCCGGAAGCACAGAAGGCTTGAGGAGCCAAGGCTGGGGGATTGAACCAAAGGCCGTGTGTGTATTGCAGGATACCTCTAACCACTGCTCTATATGCGTCATTTTTCCTTATTTTATGTTTCCGCTTTATTTGATTTTTAATGTAATCCAATAATTCGCAAACGCTCAGATATTAATGCACGCCAATTAAAAGAGAACATTTTGCTATGATCAAATAGTCCTCCTGGAACCCTTAATGACGTTGTCCCTTACCTTGACGAAGAGGTTTTCTTCAATGTTAAATTAAAACGTACCATAGAATTTGTCTTGGTGAAACGGTCACTAACCTTGAAAAGGAGTTAGACATTTTCATTCAGAAGTCCACATAGAAGTTAAAGTGTGCTAAAAATCGTTGTCATCTTTAGGATGAAAAGTGGCAAAGCATCAGGCCATAGAATACTATGGTGCCAACCACGGGAAACCCCTGGGCGGCAGTCCTAATATTCCAAATAAAAACAATATCGCTAAAATAACAAAATACCATTTCCAACAAACTAGTGTTGAGATACACAGAACCCACGAGTACGGCTCATTCATGCAACTGGTAACTACCTCTAACTGAACACCTTCTATACCATACTGACAAATTAAACTCTGTAGATTTGATTAGAGTGCACGTTCATTTCTTTCGCCAAGATGGATACAGATTTAAAAAGTAAATAAATGAGGTTGTGAGAAATGATGTAGATGAAAAACTAGGTGAAGTTTATAATATGACATCGAATGTACCACTTCGTGGGAGTAATACGATCTTCAATTAATCGGCGAACTGCAAACGATGAATAAAACTTCTCAGAAAACGTCGTTAACTTCGCGAGTGGACAGATGCTGGCTCGTGAAAGAAAAACGGAGTAGGAAATTACGTTAGATTAAACAAACAAACTACTGGAAAAACATGGAAGTAGTCTACCGAGAGGAAAAGTGCGCATTCGGAGGTGACATCCTCGTTGAAGGAAGACCACATCGGTTCTTTCAATTGAAAATGTTATTCAACGATGTGAGAAATCAACAACGAGTGAAATGGAATCATTCAAGTGAGGCGGACCGAATAATCGAATATTCGAACGATTGACCATTCAATATGTTAAAACTTCAGGTCAGCTTTCGACATCATTAGTGTGCTAAATCTTCAGCAACACCTGAATATATTCATTGTAGAATCTTGAAAGACCGAACGTTTATAGAATGAGCTTAACTACTCGTAGACGTTCTTTACATCTAAAATAGGTTCCAAATACAATAAAATGGAGGACATATCGGCAAAAGTCGGTAATTGAAAACTATGAACGATTCTTATCAGGCAAGAAAAGTGGTTTGAAGGAAGCTAGGAGAGCGACTGGGAGCAGGAGTGGGAGCGGGAGCTGGAGGAGGCATTGTGCGCTCCAGCTCTAGGCGCTTGTTCAAACATCTGAGCGCATGACCTCGACCGTCGACTGCTTTTAATTAAACGCAGAAGCTCGGATTTCAACCGAAATCGAAACAGCGGGTGGCTCATTTACTATTTCGTTCTCATAAATTAGCCTCCACAGGAAAGGATTCTCTGATGTTCTTGAAATCTGTTTGGGTTGCGTCGACTGATAATGAACAATGATTTACACGAAAATCCAATCTGAGGCCGAACAGCAGGATGTACTGGTTTAACGTTTCTCTTTATTCACGATCTCAGCTGAAATCTAGGCAGGCTAACAAAAAGCTGCTACAACTGATGGCAAACCGTCAACAGACTTATAAATACACGACTGAGAGTGAGAGTCGGAAATGATAAACAGAAGAAATGGCATCTTCAAGAATATTTAGAATGAAGGATAAGGGACAAAGTCGTTGGCGCTGACTAGCCCTTTCGGGTTGCGCCACAACTTCAACTCGACTAGGCATGGTAGAGGTGAGTGAATTAAGTCAATTGTACCTAGATGAAGACACCCATCTATAATATTGTGAAGGAAAGAAGATTACTAAAGTTACCAATGACTCAGCGCTAAAGGCAGTTTTTCAAAAGTCTTATCTTTTGGACTCCATAGTCATTTGAATTCTATAAGAAGATTCACTTTCTATTAATTGATTTCAATGGAGTTTAAAAATTCTCACATAAGCCGAAATTAGTTGTTCAGCCTGTTTCAGGCAAGAGCATTTATTCCTCCCCATTGACCCTGGTTCTCAGAACAGCTATGTTATTCCAGTAGAAAGAAGCTTTCACCAAATTTATATTGCAATTTGAGAATTCGGGCTCTGGCTACTGTATTTATCTAATGTGCCGGTTACAGTAGCCTCTTATTACGTCATGGTCATTGTCATTTTTAAGGAGAGCGTTTGCAAATCTATACAACCATTGTAAAATAGATCTCACAAGTGTCCAACGGTGCCGCTTCTGCACTTATATCTACACCAAACATGTTCGGAAAATCTCTCAAGAACTGAAATTTGGTAACGATAAGACAGAAATCTCCATCCGGAATCGACGCTGGATAAACCAGATAATCTCTGTGAAAGAGCACTTTAAATAGGGTCAATAAATCGATTGTGAGAAAACAACATGCAACTTTGGCTTGGCCGATCAGTGTGTCGTTGTCTCAATGCAGCTGTCACTTCCAGAAGATGTGTTGAATGGACACAGAAAGAGACGACGTGTACGTGTGGATGGGGCGACTATGAATGGAGCGAAATGCCATACGAGATGAAAAAAGGCTTTTTTATGTTCTGATTCATCCTATTTGTCACCAACATAACTGATAACTATCTTTCAGAGCTGACGTCCTTTCGTGAACTATCACTGCAAACATTGGAGATGGCTCTTTATTATCAGCAGAACACCATAGCATAATAGAAAGTTCTCCTTTAATATTTAGAAGTTCGACTTTCGAATGATTCAAAAAGCCATATAAAGAGTGTTTCGTACTGATAGGTGGGAAAGTCACAAGGTACGAAGAGAGTGAATTCGACTCCTTCTTTTCCAACCACGAACAACACGATTGTTTTAGCTTTTGCACTTTTTAATCCCAACTTCGAGCGAAAATGTAGATGAATTTATACGGCGTGACTCAAAGAGAAATAAGAGACCATCGCGATAACGGACACTGCACAGACTCAAGGGAAATTCTTATCAAGGTAGCTCTAGTGTCAACGTTCTGCAGTCGATGGAATGACGAACTCATGAGGACTACGGATACGAAAATACCATAGAATCGAGAATACTAGCTGAACCTAAGTTGTTCAAATTCCCACAAGCTGATCACCAATGAAACGATATTGTTCTCATTTCTTTACTGACTGGCCAGTCAACTGAAAATTTCGAACAAGAAGATATAAATGCAAATGGTTTGTTAGGAAGTCCATAAATAATGAATACATTTCTCAACTGTGAATATTTCCCACGAAAATGACAGTTTAGCTTTCCCGTTCTCTTGAGGATTTTAAATCGATATTCGCAAAATTCGATAATTCGTTCGTGCATGTTATTTTATGGAGGATTTAAAAAAAAAAGAAAAATATGAAAGTAGTACTACAGGGCAACGGGCTTCTTTCTTTCAGAAATGAACTTTTGTAATTATTAGGAACGCATTATCGTTTTTGGCTTAGCCTCAAATCCTTCTGAACACTCAGTTAAAACTTTTAAACTGTTTCCCAGACTTCGTGTCAACTCAACCAAACAGAAATTTTATATTTCATTTATCACATTCTTTTATACAAACAGGCACCTGGGAAAGCTCAACTAAAGTAGTACTATTTCTCAAAAAATTACAACCCAATCCGTATTAACTATAGAGTTATCTTCGTATGGATCACCATAACACCTCATCACAAATGAAAAATTTCTAACAATAGATCAAGTGAAGTGTCATTATATAAGGCAAAAAATCAGCCAAATTCGAAACAAAAAATAAAAATTTCGCAGCGTTGAACACAAGACATAAGGAGTACCTGTTCAACATGAGGAAATACAAAGATAATTCAAAAATTCTACAGAATTGCAGTTTCTTGAAAGATCTCAGCAGTAAAATCAATCATTCTCAACCGCCTCCAGCTGTTCCAAGTCACTTGGATCCAATTTTGGAATCGGCTTTCCTAAAACTATACAACTAAACGACATAAAAAATGAAACTAAACGAAATTAAATAAGCAATTCACCGAAGAAAGCTTCGATTTTTTTAATCACTATTAAAACTTCACGACTATCCACGAAGTTAATAGCAATACCAGCTTTTCCAAACCGCCCAGTGCTAAAATGTACGAGTTATGGAAGTGGTGAAATAATAATGCTACTTCATGAACACTAAATAAGAGTACTTGGAATGCATTAGATTTTCCTGTTGATGATACTTAGAATTAGACAAGTTGTGATAAGATTTAATGAAAAGTCAACGATAAAGCTCTCAGCGTTGATCAATCGCTGAGGGATGCGCCATGCATTCGACTTCATTAAGCATCGTGGTAGGTGATTGGATGGATATCTGGCGTTTACTCGCGGTGGGCTGCCGATGCATCGAGTCAGTGCCGCTCTTCTCCCAGACAGCAGCTCTGGTAACAATTTGTCAAACCCGGAGGGATGGAAAGCTTCGTAAGCCTTGGACGCATGGATCGACCCCGTGTGCATTGCAGGGTACCACCGACCACTGCGTTACAGGCGACATGATTTAATTAGTGGAAACTATTCTATTGAAACACTGAAATATACAAAAAAGGAAATTCATGTCATAGAAAGAGGAAGACCTAAGTCAAACGCTCGAAAACATTACAAAGACTGTACTCAGCTTTGAATAAACAACATTTCGAGGGTAAAACATTTCACATACCGTCCGATGCGATGAAGGTAGGTGTCATAATCGGGCTCAGAAGGATTCTCGTACATAAGGGGAGGATCGTAGTTGATGACGATCGTTACTTGCGACACATCGATGCCTAAATTGGGCTAAACTTTCTAAAAGTTGCCTGAAGATTTTGACAAATCTTTTGTGCATCGCTAATTTCAAAGTTTGTACTCAATTTTTATTATCCTAAAGATTTGTAAGTGGTATAAGGAACCACTATGGCAGCGCGTAGCTTTTTTTAGTGGCCCGATCATTTAGCCTAATCTCTAAAGTAAACTGTGGTTGACATTTGGGCAGTTGTGATATAATTCATCACCTGCCGCCCGATATAGCCAAATAGAAAAAGAAGTGAGGATGAACACATACGTTGCAGATAGAGCTTGGGTGGGGGAAGGGGGGAATGCGACTTCCAAAACAACAAAAAAATATTTAAAAGAAACTTTCTAGAAGTGTACAAAATTTGCTAATGAATGCACAACATGGTACGTATATTCATTAGTTTCTCACAGTAGGCTCACATCACCAGCCAGTCCTTTCCAAGCGCTACTTTTTATAGGAGGAAATGCGAAGTCTATACCTCTAGCGCAGACATTCGTGGTAATAAGGACTTTAAAGTCGCCGTCTTTAAACCGCTGTATCGACTCAGCGCGTTCTTCTACCGACATTTCCCCATGTAGAACACCAACCTGCAATGACCAAGTCAAAAACATTAAGTTACAATCAAACGGTAGAAAGTATCTCTATCTCGAAACACACAACGGCTGATAGTCTATCAATTAAATAATACGACCACACGAACCAAATGTCCTTTCTCAACCATCCGCTCAGCTAACCAAGACGCACTTCTTCTCGTATGGGTGAAGATCACACATGAAGCAATTGTCAGCCCGCTGTACAGTTCAACGACAGCCTATAGAAGATGTTTAGATGGATCGAAACAAAAGGAAACATACTTTAAGACTACTGTTTAGCCGCAATAAGGAAGGATATGTGCAGATTTGTTCATTGTGTTCCGCTTTTCATTATACTGAATATCAATTACTGAATCTGATTTCTTCTACGTTAAATGAATGAAACACGTTAGAAAGAGAAATTTCAGCTGGAATGAGAAAAAATCCATCACCGATAAAGTTCAAAAGAGTATAGAAATAAGCTAAATGGTATTTGGAGCATTTCTGAAAACAAGCTAGTCATTAAAAATATCTACATAGCTATTTAAATAATCATTAAGACTATCACCAGTGATTGAACCGCCTCACTTGGTACTTAGCGTCTCGTCCAGGACATTCAACAAAATACTGTTTAATGTTAGGCAATGCCTGGTCTTCTCGTTTCAACCTAAAGCAGAACATAAGTTAGAAGAATCAAGTCGCATAAGCCATTTAAGTTTCATGTAATCCTTAACATCGAACACTAGAATCTTAACTTTTCCATCGTCATTACCCGAAAATTTTGTAAGCTCCACAAAAACGTGTTCAAATAACAATTGAAATAGAAGAGTTGACACCAATAAAGGTCAAGTACGCTGCAAAGTAGTTGAACAACGTGTACAACTACTAACCACCCGCAGAGAAAAGCTAACGGTGCGGTCGGATTGACACGAAAGTACGACTGCATCAATACGTGGATAGAACTGGTGAAGCAGAAAGAAACAATTATTATAAGTTCCATCAACTTGGAAGGAAAACGGAGAACATATTTAAAATGAAGTCCTGCAGGCCAATAATTATACCTCATGAGCAACTCTTACAAGTGACTCTGTTTTCTATCTAATACATTCGCAATGATTAGTTGCTCGACAACTGCTGAAGTCTTCTTGGTGATGTAAGTACTTAGGAATCTAAAGATCTTACAAACCTGTGAAAGAAACGTTGCATAGCCGCTCTAAGGGCTACGCAATTTCTGCAAAACATCGTTCTCACGTGAAATTTGTTTAAAGTAAGCACTTTCAAGGAATTGAAAAGACAACTTTTTTGATACTAAGAACATAATTTCGGCTTCCAAAACGTCACGATTCTCCTTCTACATTCGTTTTCACTCGAGATACGAGAATTGATGTTAAAATAGCGAAGAAGGATTACTAGAATTCAAAAAATTGTAATTCTGTTAGGACAGAGCTACAAACTAGCTAATTAGTTATAGGAAAAGACAAATTTGTATCGCAATAATAAACAAGTGTTGATTTTTGTTTCAGACAATAAAATCACCACGAAATGCGATTTTTTGTTTTACGAACGAAAAACTATATTCGGCCAGTGTATTCAGGAAAATGTATTCTGTAATGGTAATTGAACAGCGGAAGAAATAGAGTTAAAATTGAACTCTTATTATGCTAGCGAAAAAGTTAACGAGGTTGTTACACAAATTTTATTCGGCTAACGTTTTGACGTCTTGGTCTTCACCACAGCCAATGATCCACAGTTCACAATAAAACTTGTATAACAACCTCGTGTATGCTCAACAATTTAAGCACACGTTGATTTACCACAGCGAGTTTAAAGGCAAGTCGGTTTTTGAAAACTTATGAAGTATTTTCCAGCGAGCTATAAGGCTTTTTCTGTGAATGAAGATCATCAGCTTCATCAGGCTCTAAACGCTTTGCGATCATATCATACAATTTGTTTCAGTGCAGATTTACTACACACTTTTTTTACACTAGTGTCTTTGTGATTACGTTTGTTTCTGTTGAGTATTGAGTTCTGCAACAAGGGCGAAAAAGGTTAATTCAATGGAATTTTGAAAAAATTTAAACCTGGACAGAAAATGTCCATTTGGCTCGTAATATGAGAAGAGCACTTATTGAAATAACTGTGAAAGGCCGCAAAACGTTGTTTTCGAGAGTTAGTTATGTTTATGAGATCTTTAAAGATGACAGTGGCAGAGGATGATCCACATTACCAACAAAGAGAGCCACTTGAGGTCCAATGGATCAAAGTAAATTAAAACACAACGATTCGACAACTTGCGAAAGACCTCGGTATAGACGAAATAACATAAAAAAAAGAATAAATTTTAAAAGGACACAAAACAAAGAAACAGTTATGAAATCCTCAACTGAAATAGGAATTCAGGAAAAAGAAACTTAACAAACATGTGACGCACGCACTGAGTGAATGTGAAAGAAACTGCCGTGACGCTTAAGCACACTCTTTTCCACTATAGTGGAAGTGTCTACCATAATATCTTCAATTCTAGCGCAAAATGCGTGTATAGCATAGTGGTCGGATACGACCCGCAATACGCATGGAATCGATCCCCGCGGGTAGGGTTCACTAACCCTTCCATCCCTCCGAGGTCGGCAAACAGGTGCCAGACTTGTCTGTGAGGATAGTATCACTGAGTCGATATATCGGTGGGCCACCGCGAGTCGTCGTAAACGCCAGATATGCATTCAATCACCTCCAAACGATGTATAATGAAGTCAAATGCATGGCGTATCCCTAAGGGATTGATCAACGCCGACAGTTTTATCCTTTTTTATTCTGGCCAAATCACAACATTAGAGAACTATTGCAGAAAATCCAAACCATCACCTGATAAGACCTTAACAATTATTTGCTGAGAAAATATCCAACAATCAAGAGAATACTACATACGCTTTCAGAACAGCAAAAATGTGTAGATACAGATAACAATTTAAATTAATGAAATTAACTAAGAGGTTATATGCGTGCTTGAAGTTGGAGGTTAAAAACTGCAATTATTTTCGACCCACTGTATTTTCCCACTTATGACTATAATTCAGTATATCCGACAATATTTACCAGAGCACAAAAAAGTGATTTTTTCTCATACAAGAAGAGGAATCCAGCCCAATCTTCAAACGACCCACTAAAAGTATTTCAGTGATACTTTGAATCTAAATTGAAATCTTGAAGGCAAGCATCACTCACAACAATATCATCGATTACTGAAGGAAAAAATAATCCACTATATTTAAAATCACGTGAATGGTTTGTCACCTCGCTTTAACGACAAACTTGGGCAAAGAAAAGCCAGTTGAATGTATACCTGGTCGATGATTCTAAAATAAAAAAAGCTTCGAAATATGTCTCCGGAAACCCCCACATGATTGTAAACCTATGCCGGATATCATGGTCTTCCTGGAAAAAACTAAACTGCAAAGCGGAAGGTTCGCATCGATTTTTGATGTGGGATGGTGCAGTCGTCAACCACATGCGACTATAATCAGCTGTTCTAAGCTTCCTCATTCGAAGTCACGAAAAAGCGGCTCTGAAGAAGGCGATACTGCCGAAACGTCAGCTAGCGTTGTACTGTATTGTGTTTTTTATGGAAGTAAATGTGTGCTGTTTAAAAACCTCGCGATTGCTGAACAAGAAAACGACAAATTCATATTCCAATGCCGAGGTTAAGAGAAAGTCGATCCTGGAAAGCTTGTCTCAAAACCTCAAGAGCCAGCAACAGCGACGAAGGCTTGGATGCACACTAAAACAGTCATCTTGAAACTAGAAGGAAAACAAGCTTGCACAAAATGCGAGTCAGAAATAACGCTGGTTATCGCACAATAATTAGATGGAGGTTATTCAGATACCACGTTTAACGCATACCAAGAAAGTGCTTAGCCTGCAATAATAAGTTTAAGCTCTCTCGAAACTCTTACGATACCTGTAGGCCCTTAAGAACATTCACTGATCTCTGGAACTGAATGTTCACTGCGGTGGTGAATCCTTAGGATAATGCTGCCAGATCTTCGCGTCATCTGGTGTTGGCCACCAAGTGCCACGCTCATCTAACGACAACGATCTCATTGTCATGTTTTTCGATAGTAGTAATTATGCCCTGCCTTCTACCAACAACACCTAATTTGGTCATTTCCAGAAGCAGCAACGGAAAGCATAACGGTAAGAATAGCACCGCCATCCAACGGGGAACATAGTGTGTAGAAAATGAGATTAGTTCGGTAAAATATTCTATCACTATGTGCTGAGACTGGTCTAAAGTTTTCCCTGCATATTTCTCGGCAAAAACCCTGTTGCCAAACGACTACTTATTTTTATGAATACTCAAAAATGAACGCAATAGTTGAAAAAGAACTAACAAATTTCATCTCCAATATATATTTAAAAACTCTGCGATATCTTTCCACCAATCAAATTTTAAAAAGGCGATTTGTATTTCGTAACAGATAATGGAGGTGATATCCAAGATCCCAGTTAATTCAACAATCTGAGCTAAATTGAGTCCAAAGTGACCCAAAACAAACGGGAAAAATTAGGTGCCACGCGCTCTAAGCATCAGTTGAGATTGCATGTGAACAATTTTGTTTAGAAATTAAATATCTCTACACTGAGCAAAAGCTGTATATACTTCCGTAAAATTATGATTAATTCGAGCATGTTCTATTAGAATAAGGATGCTTCGATCCTGAGAGCGCAGTTCTTCACAATTATGTCTAGCACTATAGAACATTGAAAACGAGGATGCTAACCTATTTACCGTATAACCAGCTATTCTATCATCGTACACCTCGATATTGCGCAACTGAACAAATTTAACCTTTATTACGGCGCCTACGATGTTAGCGGATTAGCACACCTACCCTGAGAGCTTCATTAAGCTCTATGATCGTTAGGAATAAGAGAGGTTGTCCTTATAAGTTGTAGTCAAGAATTAAGTTCACCATTACGTACAAAGTACTGAGAAGATAGAAAAAAGAGGGAAAAGCTGTGGAGGTTCTGTAGTACAGTGTTAACAATTGCATGGTATAGCAATTTAAATTTTCTTCTTGGATCCCTAGCATGGTCAGCTATTGTAAACACCTGTTGAAATAGGACCCCACTGACCTGACGAGATAATGAGTTTCACATTAAAATACAATGTAGGGAGCGATTCACGTCAATAACGGAGCAAATTATAAACAAATGTAATATAAGCAGAACAAATATGAAGTACTCAACCAATAGTTAGGTACGCGCGATAGTGAAGTAACTGGAAAATAATCTACAGTTACAATGCTAACTTTTTATTTGCTGCCTATTACAATCTTTCTCGGCAGGATACTTTGTGAAATACAACTACGATGATGCTGAAGATATTTGCAAAACTCCGGACCCCAGGTTTCTGCGATGGGGAACGAACGCGGTATTACTCCTTCCGCAGGCTAACGCTTTCACCACCACACCATAAGGGTGTTCAGTACCGATTTGGGCTCCCCAGATCGATCCCGTGGACGGACGAATGCTGATGGCACTGGTAGATTGAAATTGTCATGAACGAGTTAGCCACCGGAAGGCGTAATAGCGCATTCGTTCCCCATCGCAAGTGTCTACGGTATCTGAGGGCAACAGCACGTTGGTTCCTCGCTGTAGACACTTGCAGTCCGGAGTTTTGCAAATATCTCAGCAACGTTACGGTTTTATTTCGCTTAATACCCTACCGTAAAAATTGTAGTAGGCAGAAAATGAAAAGTAAAACATATCTCAACATTATTATAGTCTGTAGTTATATGATAATACAAGCTGAAAGACTGGTAAAAAGGCCTTTCACTTACCCGTCTACTGCTTGAAAGTGAAGCTCACCATATCAGATATACATAAAACTCACCTGATAGTTAAACAGACAACATTTTCAATCAGTGCACAATTTCGTTCCCATTTATAAAAGAAAAAAAAAGAAAAGAAAGAGAGGAAAAAGAATAGAAGCGAAACAAAAGCAAAAACGGAAAAAATGGACTTAACGCACTCACGTAACAGTCACTGCGTTCTTTATGAGGTGCATTGCAAATCTGACCACGTCCTCTCCATAAGTTGCGGAGAAGAGCATAGTTTGAACACCCGGCGAAACAGCTTCAATTGTGCTGAAGGGAATACCAGTAAATGCGAGAGATTGGCGATCTGATATTTTTTGGTTTACTACGTTATATCTTTTAACCAGCTTTCACATATTTTCCTCGAATACCTCAAAAGATTTCAAATAGATCCCACATGTAAAATAGAGAAGTAAGATCAAGCAAGCGATTTCTCCAGGTATTTGTTAATATTTCGTATCTGAGACACTATTGCTATTTGAGACATGTGATGCGACATTTAGTTTTGTAAACCTGAACAATATAATGCTAATAAAGCCCGACAGGTTAGTACAGAAAGGGATCCTATCCAAAAGTTCGCATCATCAGACCAATCTTAACCAGTGGCCTTCGATCAAGCCAATTTATGCCTTTTCTTCGATAAAAAAATTCTGAAAACTTCTTAGTAACCGTAATAATAATAATTTAACGTACTGGACAGCGTGTGTTTAAATTGTTGAGCCTAAACGACAAGATATTTATTTGGGTAACGTTTCGACGTTTTCGTCTTCATCAGAACCGATGATCCGAGTCGATGGTCCACAGTTGTTCGTCGTTCCTCGGATAATCAGTTCTGATGAAAATAAGACGTCGTAACGTTAGCCGAATAAATATCTTTACCAACCTCGTGTAAGCTCAGCAATTTAAACACATGTTGATTACTTTAGTACCGAGGTTAAATAACGGTTAGTTCCAAAATTACTGAACAGCATTACTCCACCCCTTATTTGATGAGCGAAAACACATATAACATCAGATGAACCTACTTATATATCTGTGTGCTTTGTTCCGCATAGCCGGTTTGGTTTATCATAACGTCTGCTTCATCGAGAACCAGACAACGAATATGGGAAGGATCCAAGCAGTGGTATTTGGTAAGATAATGAACAAGCTGCAAAGGTCATTTTATAGAAAATGAAGTGAATAAAAGAGGAATACCCATAGCAAAAATCCATTTGACAATGATGGTAATGCATTTGCTGGAAGTAAAGTAACAAATAGAAATTATTCTGACATAAATACGAACCTTTCCTGGTGTACCTATCACAATCTGTTCACTGATTGGAGCAAAAGCTAAAATTCGACTTATGATTTCGGAGGAATGATGAAATGAACTATGTCCGGGAACTCTCACGCTTAACTCCTTTAACAGCGAAGTGCACCTTGACTTCTGGCATGAACTGAGCGATTTTTGAAACGACATCCCCTAAAAAATAACAGTGAGCATTCGACATTTAGCAAACAACTCCTGAAACCTAAAATTACGGAAGATGTATTTCTCAGACAACAAACCAATCTGTATTGCCAGCTCATATGTCGGCGCCAAACAGATACACTGAGGATACTTCTCTGAAGGATCTACACGCGACAACATCGTAAGTACGAATGTTGCCGTCTTTCCTGTACCAGATTGTGATTGGGCGATGATATTGGTTGGACTGATAGAAAAAACATTAAAAGGAGCGAAATAGAAGCGATAATTTACATTGAAAGATGCAGCCGTCACTTACGGTTCCATAATTAGTAACGGCAAAGCGAATTCCTGAATTTTCGATGGTTGAGAAAAACCCAGCACATTTAAGGCTTCAAGAAGCTCCGGTCGGCTGGAAATCTTCTATTGAATGCTCATCATACAACTCAATTTGTAGGAAATTTTTTAAAACAGTCTGTGCGGCAACGTCTAAAGAACTTCTTCTACAAAAATCTGATAATAACGTACAATTTTGTTGCAAAGCTTCGAAATTTCGGTAATTATGGGAAGTATTCCGTTTTTTTCTTTACTCATGCGACCCATCTTCACACCTACTGTGAAGACCCTAACATTTAATGCATCCGATTCATTTTCTTGCACCCACGACAAACGAAGTACTAAGAGTTTTTCCTGGAGTCCTGAGATAATCCTGCGACAGGCAAGAGCGTTTCCATTTGGATTACATACAGTAAACTTTACCCAAACAAGTTCGGCACCAATTTCTCGACGCCGAAGAGATGGAAGGTTTGATGATCCAGAGGGTTCAACTAAGATACCGCTCGTGATGGTCGTCCTCACCATCACCGCACTACTTCTTACTTTTAACACCACAGGGACTACGAGGTACAACCATCGCAGCAGATTTCCCTCTCTTTTATAATGGCCATCTGTCTGGCTGCTTTATGTAACACTGTATATATATATATAT